AATGGGAGAACTTGGAGCACTTAGGGGTATATTTCTTGCAGAAAAGGTATCTCCATGTTCATTTTGTATTTCAGCAACTATTTCATGTGTCATCTCTTCATCAAGATCTTCTTCCTCTGTCTGATTTCTAGGCAACACTGAAATATGGTTGTAGGCCATTGGAACCGAGCCAACGAGTTGTTCTGATTCTTCAAACTCAAAAGTGTCATGCACTAAGTCTGATACATCTTGGTCTTCTAAGAAAACTGCATTGTAAGTCTCTTGAATTCTTGTCTGTGCTCGAGGACAATAAAATTTAAAACCCTTCGATTTCTCTGAATATCCCACAAAGTAGCATGAACTGGTTCTAGAATCGAGCTTCCTTTCATTTGGGTTGTAAAACCTAGCTTCTGCTTTGCAACCCCACACATGAAAATGATGAAAACTTGGTGTTCTGCCAGTCCATAGCTCAAAAGGTGTTTTTGGCACTGATTTTGTAGGCACTCGGTTCAACACATAGTTTGATGTCCTCAATGCTTCGCCCCACAGAAAACCAGGCAGCTTAGATCTTGAAATGAGACTTCTAACCATTCCCATCAAGGTTCGGTTTCTTCTCTCAGCCACTCCATTCTGTTGGGGTTTTCCTGGAGTAGTATACTGAGCCACAATGCCTTGTAACTCAAGAAATCGTGCAAACGGACCCTTCTGTTGCCCTGCTTCTGTGTGCCTGCCAAAATATTCTCCTCCCCTATCTGATCTAACAATCTTAATTTCAAGATTTAGTTGTTTTTCTACTTCACATTTAAAAACTTTAAAACACTCAATGACTGCTGACTTTTCTTTTATTAGAAAAATGGAACCATGTCTGGAGTAGTCATCTATAAAACTCACAAAATATGAATTTCCACAAATGGTTTTGACAGGAAAAGGTCCACAAACATCTGTGTGTATGATCTCAAGTAAATTTTTACTTCTATTTGCATCCAATTTCCTAACATTGGTGGTTTTACCTTTCATACAATCAATGCAATCAGATGCATCATTAAAATCTAATGCAGGTATAAAGTTTAACTTTGACAATTGCATGATCCTATCTTTTGAAATGTGTCCTAGTCTTTTGTGCCACAACATATAGGAATTGTCAAAGTTATGCATTCTTTTGGCAGTTGTGTTCAAAATACTTAATTCAATATTTAATACCGTGCACTGCATTTTCCACAAATGATCATGCAAAATAGCCTTTCCTATTAGAGACCCTCTACTGAAAAATTTCATGCATTCTTTGTTACCTATGAAGGTGACACCTTCATTTACTAACCTAGATGCAGATATTAGATTTCTCCTCATTGCAGGCACATATAACACATTTGACAATTCTAACACAAAACCAAAAGACAATTTGAGTTTTACCTTTCCTATGGACTCAACTATGACTCTGGTTCCTTCACCAACATAAACATTATATGCATTTGCTTGTTTCTGTTTTTCAAAACCATGCAGTGAATTTGTTATATGCACAGATGCACCAGTATCAAACCACCAAGAATTTGCAGGAATTTCAATGAGATTTGATTCCTCACAGACATATACATTAGTCCTACCCTTAGCCCTCAGCCATTCCTTGAATATTTCACAATCCTTTCTATAATGACCTTTAGTTTTGCAATGGTGACACCTAACCTTTTCTATGTTTTTACTTTTGACCTTAAAATTGTTAGATTTAGAGGAGTTGAAATTCTTAGCAGGCACATAAGATTTATCAAGGTGTTTGGGTTTAGAAGTATTACCAAAATTTGCATTGAAGTCTTTCTTTCGAGATGTCTGCACAAAATTGACAGCCTCAACTTCTTTTCCTCTATCCATCTTCTGTCGATTTTCCTCTTGAACACACTGAGATATAAGCTCATCCACTGACCATGACTTATCTTGAGTGTTGTAGGAGACTTTCAGTTGACTGAACTTCAAAGGAAGTGCTTGCAGGATCATGAACACCAGCTGTTTCTCACAAATATTCATATCTAATGAATTGAGTTTTTCAGCCGCATCTGTCATCTTCATAATATGATCTCTTATTGAACCACCCTCTTCAAACTTGTAAGTTGTGAGCAGAGTCATGTACTGAGCAATTTCAGCCTTCTGTGATTCCTTGAACTTATTCTCAATAGCTTTGAAATAATCTTTTGCAAGATCACACCTTTTGATGCCTCCTCGCACGGTGTCCGTCATCCCACTTTCCAAAATTGACAATGCCACTTTATTCGCTCTTGTCCATCTTTCAAACTCTAACTTATCAGCCTTTGAACTCTTATCAGTAAGAGGTGCAGGCTGTGGTGTATCCAGTGCTATGTCATATTCATTCAGTGTCAAAAGCAATTCAATTTCCCTTCTCCACTTTCTGTAATTACTTCCACCCGTGAGTATTGGCACAGCAGCCAAATTCATTGTTTTTAGTGAAACTGCAGAAGATAACAATGAAATCAACACTTTGAATCTTTTAGGATTCATGATTTCTATCTATTTCACCATGTAATCCTCATCATGAGTCAATTTTGTCATACATGGTTTCAAACTTTGATAAAGATAACCATATATAGAGTAAACAACTCACAGAAGATTGCATTCAAGAATCATGTTCAAAAGGGATGATGTTCATATATCACACCACATGAATCGAATATCAAAATTCAATAAACCCAATATAAAACAGCAGCGGAAACTCAAAAATAATTGATTCAGTTTATCCATTTAGATGATTTTGATTCGAATTGGCGAGATGCTAGCAAATTCTCTAATTATAAGCATATATACGGTATTCTTTAGTTCAAATAATTTCTTACACTAATTTCAAGTTTTAAAATTGTAGACATACCTTTTGGAACAATCAATGAATGCAATTGGCATGAGAAGGATAAAAAGGACGAAAATTCCTTAAATCGCTATAAACCCAGAAACTGGGAAAAGGAAAAGAGCTAAGGGAGAGGAAAAGTCGCAAAACCCAGCAAACATAAGGGTAAGACCCCTTTTTTTTTTTTTTTTTTTTTTTTTTTTTTTTAATAAAACGGTGTCGTTTGCTATTGTTATTTTCAAAACAGGTTATGATTCTGGGTTTGGTAATTATAGGTTCTTGTCCAGATTGTTGTGCAAAAAAAAAAAATAATAATTCGAACTTAATGGCAATTATCTCTCCCAAGCTCTAATACCACATGTAAGAACTATATCACAGATCAAAGATATGCCAGTAAGTTACCAATACTCCAACAATCGAACTAAGTGACAAAACTACAAACACGAATATGAAACCAGTGGAAAACATACCTGCAGAACTTGAACTCGAAGAAGCCATAGCAGGTTCACAACCAAGCAATCTTCTCCTCTTTAGCAAAACTAGAAAACTCTCTGAATAATAGGTATTCAATACAAGATGAGCCGTGTCTTTGCAAGAGCAGTGATTGAGGTTATATACAACATTAATCCAACTCATTCTCCTATTAGAATTAGTGTTGAACTCTAAAACAAAACCTTTTCACACAATGAGTGTACAAGATCAATTAGTGTAGGATCCGAAACCTTTTCCAGAGGAACACTAAAAGCACTCATAATCCTACAAGGACGAGGATTCAACCAAACACCTTATCAAGACTTTTCCATTCAAGAATTCATCCAATATTATAGCTAATCCTCAAACATGTTTCATACTCATATTCCAACACTAGTTACCAGAGAATGACTTTTATCCTTCTATAAACAGGCAGTTGATAAAGGTGACTCTGGCCCAATATAACTTGACTCATAAACTGGAAACTTTGAGGCTTCAAACTCTGAGCCAAAAGTTGAAGCTTCTCACTCAACAAACAAAAATTACAAATCCAAAACTAAAAAGAATCAGAAACAAACTAAAACATGGGATTGGTGAAGGCCATACCTTCGAAAGCATAGACGCAGACAGCTCTTCGAGAGCGATCCCAACTCCGGGGTCGGAGGCGGAAACAGAGGCCAATATCCTCAAGATTTTGCGTTGACGATTGTGAGATCGGGATAAAACGGTCGAAACCAAATTTGCAAGTTTTGAAAAAACGTTAAGGAATCTGGGTTTCAATGAATAAGGAGGTTGCAAATAAAATCCCCAAAGAAACAAAAAAAAGGTCTCCCATGTCGGTATTTTGTGAGAGAAAAAGCGCAAGATTCGAGAGCGAGTTCAACAGCAGCAGAAGCACAGATTTGTGAGAAAGAAGAAATCGAAGGAAAAATCGAGAAGATGCAAGAGAGGCTTGAGGCAAGCATGGACAAATGGGTAATCTTACGTGTAAAGAGGAGAAAGAACGGAGCAGGAAAGCTGTTTGACAAGGCAATATCGCTAATTTAATTCTGGTGAGCAACGCTTTTCCACCAAGTGGATGGCAAGGGCAAAAACACCTTTTTACTGTGAAAAAGACGCAAAAACAAAATGGCACATAAAAAAGCATTCAGAGGGCATTTTCGTCCGTTTACTGCTGGTGAACAGTGTTTTTTTGCTTGAGTTTTAGTATAGGTTCAACTAAAAATTGTTATCCGCGTGATTAGAAACTGTTAAAAAAAATTATCATAGACTATTAATATTATTTACATTAAAAATGTTACACGATTTTAACAAACAAAAAATTTAATCTATACAGTATACACACAAACAATTGTAGAACTTTTGTCTTTACATAAAAAAAATAAAAAAAATCTAAGTTATTCACTGAAGCACCTAAAGTTTCTTGATTGTGAAGAAAGCAACCTCAGCAAGGAAAAATATGAAATATTAAAATACATGCAATTAATTTATACATCAACGGGCTTATATTACAAAAAAATAAGGATAAAGTATTGCTACCTAGTCTTTTTTTTTTTGGAGGAAAATAATCTGATTTTATACCAATTAGAGAGAACTTTTTTTCAGCAATTTAATAGTCTAATAAATTGATTATACAAAAAATCCATTAAAAAAACCTAAAAACAATAAACTATTCACTAATTTTTCATACGAAATAGAACAAAGCTATAGAATATACCTTTTCATAGTGAGTATTGTGAAAAATACAACATAGCTTGAGACAATGGTAATTAACGTGTTTGGAAAAGTCTACCTGCGTGGTGGTGTAATCGTCACATAGATAAACTTCAATGCCAATTGATTGAACTAAGTTTTTTTTTTTTAACAAACAATATTATCTACACTAAAGAGAAAGGTAAGCTTTAGCCTCACAACAAGAGAAGCCTTGCGCAGAGCTCTACCTCTAACAACTCAATTATATCTTGAAATCGGCTAAGTTGGTATTGTAACACGGTAAGGTTGGGTAGATTTTAGATCCAAATGTCACCAAACAATATTCTGCAGAATGGCAGTGTTCTGTCTAGATTGTCCATGGCACGGACGTAAACTGGATGATAACGCAGGGCAACACTGGTACTATACCCTAAACATCCACAAGCTATAAACAAATAGTTAAAGTTCATATGCACCAAGGGTACTAAAACTCAACCCATTGTTTAGTAAGAAGAACCACAAAAACAAATTAGTAAAAACCGAAATGGTTATCAGATGGACACAAAGGTTTTTGTACTACGTGAAACTTTGCGTCGAGAAATTGAAACAACTATCAGGAGACAGTTATACGGATTTCCTACAATTCTATAAATAATGTATTCTTTCACCATTGTTTCAATTCAAACAAAAATTAAAGAACAGAAAAGCTAGAAGCAGGAAAATTGCAACTGATCAATATTTTCCAAACAAAACCAACCTGCAATGTCCTAGTTGCAAATTCAACTCCAATGGTGGACTTAGACTCCAAAGAAAACTCATTCCTCGTAAACCTCGAAAGAATGTTCGATTTTCCAACACCCGAATCTCCAATCAATACAATCTTGAAGAGGTAATCGTATTCGTGATCCACCTTGTACGCCATACGTTCTACTCCTCACACACACACCCCCACAACACCTGCCCAGATCCAGAATTCACCAAACAAAAAGCTGTTAGCAGTCAAAAAACCAAAAAAATAAACCCATTCTCTTGTTTTGACAGAAGGGATGAGAAAAGTGCTGATCAGAGAGCATTTTCTTTACCTACGGTTTCTTTCCAATGTGATTTTCCCGAGAAACAAACGGAAATTGGGTAATCATAAAACAATGACAATGGCGCGTAGAATGGTGATTAACAAAATAGAGGATTTTTTGAATGTTGGGTTTTGTTATGTTTGCATTGAAGTTTGTGGAAACAGAGGAGAGGAGAAAAGAAGAAGAAAAGGATGGCGTTGTACAAAGTTAGAAACAGAACAATGGATGAAAATGCACTTAAACGGCCTTTCACGAGGGAACTGACGCGCCGAATTCGGAGTCTATGTAAAGTAAACGACCATTCATAAGACATGACGCATAAAATTTAAGCCCATTCTCAATATGGGCTTAGGGCATATGTTTGTAACCCACTGAAAAGCTCCATTAGGGTTTCCTATCACACACTATTTATCTCTCTACACACTTATGTCATGTAGTCATGTTTAATCATATCAGTTGACTATTGATTTTATCAACTTGGGTTACTAAAAATTAAGAAATGAGTGCAATTATCATTTCTAACTGTTTTAAAATGTTAGGATGATTCATAAACAAATTGGAAGTTCAAAAGATAAGTCGGAATGAGCCCCTAAATTCAAAGGGCATTTGCCATGTCTCTCTGTTTTGTGAATCATTAAAAGTGACATTATTTATCCTTACATATTTTGTCTTTGGTGCACAAAGTGACTACTACTACCTACCACTACAAACCTAACCTCTTACACCACCATTGTTACCACCACGCCACCACCACGACCATAACACACAAGCGTCACCACTACCACCACTTACCTCTGTGGCTCAACCACCACACCCCTTAATCAGCAGCACCACCACCACTATCACAACCATTGTCCTAGCCACCGTTGTCAACGTCATCACACAAATTATCATGTCCATTTTTGTTATTATATACAATTATATCATTTTACATTAAATTTTACCAAACACGCTTTTACAATGCTTTTCATACTCACAACACTTATAAAAATACAGTTATCAAACGCTCAGCTACTTTATTTTGTAGCTGATTATTCTTAAAGCACAACATAAACAATTTTTTTTTAAAGCATAGTACTCCCCAACTGGCCCTAAGTCCACAAATGAGTCATCCCAAGCAAAGCCGGTCTTGAGTTTTTTGGTGCCCGGAAAAGAATCAGAAAGTGCCTTTTCTTAATACACGGGTATATATTAAAAATAAATATTTAAAAAGAGTGGGCCAAACCCTTCATACATATTATATTACTCAAGTGCAAAGGTAAACGTTCATAGCTAATAAGGATAAAACTGTTAAAAGCATAGTTAGTTAGAATTGTTATAAGGTGGTTATGATAGCTTGTAATTAGTGAATGTTTGTTTGGGTATTTTTGTAATTAGCTGGTTAGCTAAGACTAGTGAGTCACTAGTATATATATGTACATACCATTGTATAATTTTATCTTGATGAAATGAAAAGATAACATTTCTAATATGGTATCACCCACCTAAAAGTCTCACGACATTTTCGATCCTATTTTTCCCGCCTCTCTCTCTGCATCGTCTCCTAGGGTTTGCTTCTTCTTCTCCGATCAATCGATCGCTTCAACACTCTTGCTTCTTCTTCTTCATGCTATGACGAGCTCTGCAGCTTAGTCTTCTTCCGCTTCAGATTCTTCTATTCATCCAATTCCTGCTGCTCTTTCTAACCCTAATTCTGCAATTACGATCCAAAACATTGGATCCATGGTTCCAATCAAGCTTACAACGACGAACTACCTGACCTGGAGTGCTTTATTCACTCCGATTTTCCGCCGGTACAATCTTACCAGATTAATTGACTGCACAATGGCTGCTCCGTCGAAATTCCTTCTCGATGCATCTGGAAATTGCACCGCCACTCTGAATCCCCAATATGTTGCGTGGTATGAGAATGATCAGAACATCTTGATCTAGATCAACTCTACGCTCTCGGATGCATTCTTTACACTGTTGGTGTTAATTCGGCTCGGGAGTTATGGTCCAAGTCATGTATTTCTCTTTCTAGTGTTTTAAATAAAACTGTCTGCTCCAGCTGTGCTCTAGGCAAGTCTTCAAAATTACCTTTTGTTTCTGTTTCCTGTACCTCCAATAAACCTCTGGAATTGTTACACACTGATGTATGGGGTCCAGCCCCTCTTCTTTCTATCAATGGACATCGTTACTACATCATTTTTGTTGATGATTATACCAAATACACTTGGTTCTTTCCTCTTGCATCCAAGTCTGATGTCTTTGACACATTTGTCAAATTTAAAGCTCCCGTGGAAAATCTACTCAGTTCTAAAATAGTTACTATAAGATCTGATTCTGGTGGAGAGTTTCTTAGTCTCAAGCTCATCAATTATCTGCAATTACATGGCATTTCACATCAGTTAAGTTGCCCTCACACGCCTGAACAGAATGGCTGTGCTGAACGCAAACATCGGCATCTAGTTGAAACTGCTAGAACTTTTCTAGCAGCCTCTCAAGTTCCTAAGCTCTATTGGGATGATGATTTTGCCACGGCTATCTATCTGATTAATAGAATGCCAACAGCTACCAAGTATTCTCCTTGGGAATTACTCTTTCACAAACCTCCGGATTATTCCTCTCTGAAAGTGTTTGGCTGCAAATGTTTTCCTTGGTTGAAGCCTTACATTTCCTCTAAACTTGATCCAAAGAGCAAAGTATGTGTCTTTTTGGGTTATAGTTTGAATCACAATGGTTATAAATGTCTCGATCCTCATACTGGCAGAGTATATCTTTCACGGCATGTTATTTTTTATGAAGTCACTTTTCCTTTTGCTCAACAAGACTTATCTCAGTCTCTCCCATCTAGTTCTAGTTCTTCTATACTGAGGAATCATCACACCATTCCCACAACCTTAACTTTTCCCACTATATCTTCACCTTTACCATCTCATTCCCTTACTGCACCTAGTTCCCTTATTGCATCTAGTTCTCTTGCTGCACCTATTTCCTCTTCCTCATCTCCTCACCTTATTTCTCATCCCATCTCTGCCCCTAATCCACTTGCCGCACCCTCCATACCTCAAAACACTCATGCCATGCAAACTCGTTCCAAATCCAGTATTGTCAAACTAAAGGTTTTTTTAGCAACCAAACATCCCATTTCCTCTGAGATGTCACTGGACTATATACCATCCACTTATCTTCAAGCCTCCAAACACTCTCACTGGAGGCAAGCTATGCAGGAAGAATTTAATGCTCTTATTCAAACTGGCACTTGGTCTTTGGTCCCTTCTCATTCTTCTCAGAATTTGGTTGGTGCAAAATGGGTATTCAGAAATAAACGCAAGCCTGATGGTACCATTGACAGGTACAAAGCAAGGCTTGTTGCCAAAAGATTTCATCAGCAACAAGGTTTGGACTACACTGAAACATTTAGTCCAGTTGCAAAGCCGGTTACCATTCGGCTTCTTCTCACTTTGGCTGCCAAGTTTGATTGGTTCCTCAATCAACTTGATATTAGCAATGCATTTTTGCATGGTAATCTCACTGAATCTGTGTTTATGGTACAACCACCAGGATTTGAAGACCTTACAATGCCTTCTCATGTTTATCATTTGCATAAGTCTTTGTATGGTTTGAAGCAAGCCCTCAGGGCTTGGTATGAGAAATTAACAACTGCCTTAAAGTCTCTCGATTTCTCTGGTTCTCAGAATGACTATTCTCTATTTGTAAAACGGGAACCAGCTCTGGTCTTCATTCTAATTTTGTTGATGACATTATTGTCACTGGTCCAAGTTCCCATCTTTGCCAAGAGGTTATAACTCAACTCGGTGTCTTATTTCCTGTCAAAGATCTTGGCCCCCTTTATTACTTTCTTGGCATTGAAGTAACAAGATCATCCTCGGGGATATTGCTTTCTCAGACCAAATATATTCTTGATCTCCTCACTAAAGCTCATATAGAGGGTTCCAAGCCTTGTGTTACCTCGATTAGCACCACTAAATTGGATCATAAATCTCCTTTGCTTGATAATCCTGAAGAATATCGATCTTTGGTTGGTGGTTTGCAGTATTTAACTTGGACTAGGCCCGACTTATCTTATGCAGTGAATTTGGTCTGTCAATTCATGCATAGTCCTCGGCAAGCACATTTCCAGGCCGTCAAGCGCATTCTTCGATATCTTAAGGGTTCCTTGCAAATTGGCTTATGGTTTCCTAAGTGTTCCAAGTCTCTCACTCTCACTGCCTTCTCCGATGCAGATTGGGCAGGTTGCAGTATTGACAGACGATCCACTAGTGGTTTTGTAATTTTTTTGGGAGACAAAGAGTGCAAAGAAACAGCCTACTGTGGCTCGATCCTCAACTGAGGCTGAATATCGATCTTTTGCAAACACTGCGGCTGAACTCACCTAGATTTGCAAGTTACTGACTGATGTTGCTCTTGTTCTTCCCTCTTATCCACAACTTTGGTGTGATAATATCTCTGCAATTTCCTTGGCTAAGAACCCTATTTTTCATGCACGAACCAAACATGTGGAGATAGATTATCACTATATCCGCGCAAAAATTGCTCGCCAATCAAGTGCAAGTTCTTTTTGTCTGCACGGAGGATCAACTTGCTGACATTTGTACTAAACCTCTATCCAAGCCTCGGTTCATCTTCCTTCGCAACAAACTCTCTCTTCGGTTCCCTCAGTTAGGTTTGCAGGGGGGATAATAAGGATAAAACTGTTAAAAGCACAGTTAGTTAGAATTGTTATAAGGTGGTTATGACAGCTTGTAATTAGTGAATGTTTGTTTGGGTATTTTTGTAATTAGCTGGTTAGCTAAGACTAGTGAGTCACTAGTATATATATGTACATACCATTGTATAATTTTATCTTGATGAAATGAAAAGATAACATTTCTAATAATAGCCACTTTAAACTATAATCATTAAGTTCATCTCCAACTGAACGCTGGCCAAATGGCTTGTTTTAGCCATCTGATCCTCCAAGAAATTAATATTTTAATGAACTGTGCATGATCATATTCTTACCATCTCCAACCGAGGGCCAAACATAATTTATTATTTAAATTTAAAAACTACAACTTAAATTAAAAAAACTACAACTAAAATTTAATAACTACAAGTAAAATTTATAAAATACAACTTATATATTTCAAGTCAAATGTGAGAGGTTTTATTTAGAGTAGCAAAAAAG